AAAACACCAAAAATACTATTTGATAACTCAGCAATTTGCTCTGAACTGCTAAAACTAAAACAGCACATATACATTTTGGGGAAAATTTAAGATTAATCTTTTCAAAAACTCCCAAATAAATAAATAAAAAATAAAAAACTAAAATAAGAAGTCATTAAGGCTTCTTAAAATTGATAAAAAAAATGTTCATCCACTGAATACAACCAAACCTTAGGTTGCATGGAATTTCAAATAAAAGTTTTTATATTCTAAACAAAACAATAAAAATGATTTTTTTTTGAATATATATCCTTTAAAATGTTTAAGTATACAATTCTACTTATTTACATGCTCATTTTCTGACAAATGAACCAAATACACAAAGACATTTTATAAAAGAGGAAATTTAAATTTTGGTCATATGACTATAGGGGTTTTGTTAATTTCAGCACCCGACTTTCAACAGTGTCAATTTAGTACTTTGACTATGCAATTTTTATCAATTTTGGTCACTCCGATTAAATTGCCGGTCAAATTTCGCCGGAAAAAATGTAATCCTTCATTTTGTCTATAATTTGAGGGGCAAAATAGTCTTTTGAATTATGGTAAAATCGTCTTTTTCTTCCGGCGAAATTTGGCCGGAGTGACCAAAATTGACAAAAATTACATACTCAAGGTACTAAATTGACACTTTTGAAAGTTAGGTGCTAAAATTAACAAAGCCCCTATAGTCATATGACCAAAATTGAAATTTTCTCTTTTCTAAAAAATAAATCAAATACACAAAGATAATTTTCTGTTGTGCAGCCAAAAATTGAAAAGAAAAATATTTTTGGAAAAACAACTCATTTTCCAAAAATATTTTCCTACTTTCCAACTTTAATACATGTACAATTACTTTGTTAATTGTCATATTAATTATTAGATAATGACCATGTTTGATTATTGACAAATTCGTCACAATTTTAACAAATCTGCTATTTTAACATTTTGCTCCAAATTGCTAAAAACAAAAATAACACATACATTTTGGGGAAAAATTAATTTTAATCTTTTCCCAAAACTCCCTAATAAATAAATACATTAATTAATTAATTAAAAAAAAGTCATTAAGACTTTTTATATAAGAGTCTTTTGGCTTCTTAATACTTGCCCACATTGATGGGCAAACAATTATGTTTGGAAGAAGAGCATTGCTCCTCAAGATGTCCTCTTTCCCAACATTTTCGATGTGGGATCAAAATGATCCCACACCATTTACAAAGGGTAGCCTTGTGGCTCACCTTTTTTTCTTTTTTTTTTTAATTAATTTTATTTTGTCTATTGTTTTGTTTTGATTATTATTAATATCATTATAATTGTAATTTTATTTTATTATTACATAATAATAATAATAATAATAATAATAATAATAATAATAATAATAATAATAATAATAATAATAATATAAATTTCTTTTTAGCTATACACTTATTATTACATAATTGTAATTATACTATTATTATGGTAATGATTAGTTTGATAACATAATAATATTAGTCAATTATAATATCATTTGTGTAATTATTAACTTAAGTACAATAATAATTATTATATTCGTATAGTATTAATTTGGGAGATATAAAAATACTTTTTTATATAAAAATTAAAATATTGAAGCATACAATTTTACTCATTTTATTGTTTATTTTCCAAAAAGTGAACCAAAAATACAAAAACATTTTCTGAAAAATAAATCAAATACACAAAGACAATTTTCTGATGTGCAGCCAAACATTAAAAAGAAAAATATTTTCTGAAAAATAACTCATTTTTCAGAAATTATTTTTCTACTTTCCAAACGAACTTTAATATCCATACAATTAATTTGTTAATTGCCATAATAATTATTAGATAATATATTTTTATCATAAAGAAAGATTTTTTAGGAATTGGGCAGTAAGTTAAAGTTCAGGATTTGGTTTTTATATATAGTATAGATTAGAATATGAATTATATTACACTATTTTATAATATTAGAATATGAATTTTAACCTAGAATTATACTACGAATAGGAAAGCAGAAAACAATATATTTTATTAGAAAGAGATATTTTTTAGGAATTGGGCGGGAAGTTAAAGTTCAGGAGTTTGTTTTTATATATAGTATATATTAGAATAGAATTGTATTGCACTATTTTATAATATTAGAATAGGAAGTTTAACCTAGAATTATATATAGTACGAATATGAAAGTAGAAAATAATATATTTTTATATGAAAGAGAGATTTTTTAAGAATTGGGCGGAAAGGTAAAGTTCAGGATTTTATTTTTATATATCGTATAGAAGTATAGAAGTATAGATTAGAATATGAATTGTATTACACTATTTTATAATATTAGAATATGAAATTTAACCTAGAATTATAGTACGAATAGGAAAGTAGAAAACAATATATTTTTATCTGAAAGAGAGATTTTTTAGGAATTGAGCGGGAAGTTAAAGTTCAGGATTTTGTTTTTATATATAGTATAGTTTAGAATAGGAATTGTATTACATTATTTTAAACTTGGACAATTAAATCTATTAAAAAATTTCTCTCTATCCCTGCGATTTAGGGTTTCTGACTTTCCATTCCTGTTTTCTAGGGTTTCCGGCAGCTTCCATCGGCGACTGCTTCTCGCGTTCTATCTGCATCAGTGCGGCATGGACTTCCAAGGCTTGATCGATAGCACGACAGAAATCACGCTGGAGGACGAAGATTTGGGGGTTCGTTTTGAGGATGAGCCGGCGGGAGGGGTTGATCACGACGATGTACGTCGAACATGGTCTATTGTTGGACGGTTCTTGACTGACCGTAGTCTGAAGGTGGAGATGATGAAGAGGGTTATGGCGTTTGCATGGCGTCCATTGATGGGGATAGAAATCACTGATGTTCAGCCGAGGCTTTATCTGTTTACGTTATTTGACGAGGCTGAGTTCTGGAGGAGGGGCCCTGGGCTTTTGAGAATGCTATGTTTCGCTGTCAGCCGTTAGAAGGTGATGATAATCTGGCTATGGTGGAGTTGAGTACAGTCGACCTTTGGGTACAAGTGTTTTAGCTCCCGACGGGATATCGGACGGAGAAAGTGTTGGAGAAGGTGGGGGACTATGTTGGTGTATTCCTGTGAGTTGATGAACGGAATTTCGTAAGGCCATGGTCTATGTTCTATAGGATTCGTGTTCGTCTTGATATAGCAAACCCTATTAAACGTCGCATGAAGATGATTGCGCGACGGGTCGTGGGTGTGGATTGAATTCAAGTATGAACGGTTGAATGTTTTCTGCTTCTTTTGCGGCAAGCTGGGGCATATTGACAAGTTTTGTTTGGAGGCTCGTAGGTCCACTATGTCGCCGGCGCAATATCTATACGGCCCTGGGTTGAAGGCTGGGGTTATGGGTGCAGCTAAGGTGTTGGGGGATAAGTGGTTCTAGCTCGGTCAAGAGAGGAGAAGAGAGATTGGTTATGGGAGAGTTGCGGTGGGTAGTGTCCAAGCACGGGGCTTGCAGGTTGGGGGTGCCGAGTGGGGGGAGGATGGTGGTATGGTGGCGGGGCAGGCCAGGGTTGAGGGTTCGGGTTCGGGGGTGGTGCCGGTGTCTTCGGTCGCTGCTATGGTTGAGGGACCCGAGGGGGAGGAGTTGGGTTTACGGGTTGATCCAAAACGGCGGAGGGGGCCAGGGGGTGAGGTGGTGAGTGAGGTGAGGGGGATGCAGGTGGAAACAGTTCATAACAATATGGCGGGACCTGGGGACCAGGCCCGCCGCTCTCAATGAGTACCTTATTCTGGAACTGCCGTGGCTTGGGCAATCCACGGACGGTTCAGGAGGTGGTGGACTTAGTGTCCAAGAAGAAGCCCAGGTTCGGTTTTTTGAGGGAAACTATGGTAGATAGGAGTCATGCAGAGAGGCCCCGTGTAAAACTGGGATTTGAGGGGTGTTTTGCGATTGATAGTGATGGTCAGAGGGATGGAATGTGTTTTCTATGGGCAAAGAATAATGGTGCACGTTTAATTAAGTATTCGCACAACCACATTGATCTGGAGGTGTCATTGCCTGATAAGCCGCTTTGGAGGTTAACTTGTTATTACGGGTATCCACAGAGGGACAGAAGGAGGGTTGCATGGGATTTTCTAAGATCTCTTAGGGGGGTTTCTGATCTTCCTTGGGTGGTTTTGGGGGATTTCAATGATTTGTTGATGCAGTCAGATAAGAGGGGAAGGTTGCCACATCCTGTTGGTTTGATTGAGGGGTTCGCTGAAGCATTGGAAGACTGTGGTTTGATGACATTGCCCATAATTGGTTACCCATACACGTTGGAGCGTGGAAAAGGGACTGCTCGCTGGGTTGAGGAGCGCTTGGATAGGGTGGTGGCGAATATGGACTGCTTACAGGACTATGATAGGGCGAGGTTGTTTAATATTCGAACTGACTCGTCAGATCATACTGCGCTCTTTCTGGATATAGTTGGGGTGGTACATGTGCCGAGGCCCCGGGGTTTCCGGTTTGAGAATGCATGGCTTCTAGATGGTGGCTGCAGGGAGGTGGTGGAGAGGGAGTGGGCTAGTACCCCGGGTTTGGCGTTGCAGGCCAGGCTTGGTGTATGTTGTCGGGGTCTGAGGAGGTGGGGTGGTGATCGGCATCATAAGTATAGAAAATGGATAGAGGGTATCAAGAAGGAGATGAATGGCTTGCGGGCTAGCCGTGACCCTATTTCTTTGGCTCGGTTTAGGCAGCTTGATGAGCAGTTGGGTGTTGTTCTAGCCCAGGAGGAGGCATTCTAGAGGCAGCGTGCTAAGCAGCAATGGCTCCAGGGAGCTGACAGGAATACTAAGTTTTTTTCACAAGTATGCTACATACCGGAAGAAGAAGAATGTGATCCAGAGGCTTAAAGATGATGGTGGTGTTTGGAGGGAGGGCAGTGCTTTGGACTCGGTGGTTACCAGTTATTACAAGTAAATCTTTGCTTGGGGCGGGAGTCCAGGGGTTTTCAATGTGGATACCATGCGGCCTTGTATAACCAGGGAACAGAATGATGATTTGCTACGACCCTTTGAGCCGGATGAGGTACGGAGTGCTTTATTTTCTATGGGCAAGGATAAATCACCGGGACCAGATGGCATGAACCCAGGCTTCTATCTGGCATTCTGGGATGTTATTGGTAAGGATGTTTCTGATTTTGTGCTTCATTGCTTATCTGAGAAGTCTTTTCCTGCTAATTTGAATGATGCCAATATTGTCTTGATACCCAAAAAATGCTCCCCTGTGTCTGTGTCTGATTTAAGGCCAATAGCTTTATGTAATGTGCTGTATAAGATAATGGCTAAAATGATTGCTAATTGAATGAAACCGTTGCTTGAGGGTATGATTTCTGTTTTGCAAAGTGCCTTTTTACCTGGTAGGTTGATCTCAGATAATATACTAATTGCGTCTGAGGTTGGCCATTATTTGAGGAGGAAACAATTGGGGCAGGTTGGTTGGGCGGCCTTAAAGCTTGATATGGCGAAAGCTTATGATAGGATGGAATGACCTTTTGTGCAGCAGATGTTGACTGGTTTGGGTTTTGATGACAGATGGGTCCAGTTGGTAATGATGTGTGTGCAGTCAGTGCGGTACAGGGTGCTAGTCAATGGGAAACCTTGTGAGGAAATAGTGCCCACGAGGGGGCTCAGGCAAGGAAACCCTTTGTCTCCTTATTTGTTTATAATCTGTGCTGAGGGTATATCGTTGTTGTTGCAGGACTCTCAGGCTAAAGGGCTATTACATGGTTGTAGAGTGGCCAGGGGGGCACCATCTATCTCACACTTGTTTTTTGCAGATGACAGTTTGCTTTTCTTTAAGGCTAACTTGCAGGAAGCATTGGAGGTGAGGAAATGTCTGGGAATTTATGAGTCTTTCTCGGGGCAGGCAGTTAATTTCCAGAAATCAAGTATTACGTTTAGTCGTAATACAGTTGTGGAGGTTAGGGACCTGGTCGCGAATGCTTCGGGGGTGGGCCAGGCTGATGATTTCGGCAAGTACCTTGGTTTGCCTTCTGTTGTAGGTCGGAATAGGAGAGCGGTTTTCGCATATGTTGAGCAGAAGTTGAGGCAGAGGTTTGGTTCATGGAACAAGAGACTGCTATCCAAGGCAGGGAAGGAGGTGCTTCTGAAGAGTGTGGCTCAGGCGATGCCTACCTATACAATGAGCATTTATTTACTCCCTTTTACATTGTGTAATGCTCTAGAAAGATTGATGAACAGGTACTGGTGGGGTCAGAAAGGCTCACAGGGTAGCATTCACTGGATGTCCTGTGACCGAATGTGCGTGCCTAAGAAGTTTGGAGGTATGGGTTTTAAGCGCCTGCATGAGTTCAATATTGCACTTTTAGCTAAGCAGGGGTGGCGGCTATTAACCAATCCTGGGTCCCTTGTGGCTCGGGTTTTTGGGCCAGGTATTATCCTACATCTACAGTTTATGAAGCTACAATGGGTAGTAACCCGAGTTATGCTTGGAGGAGTATCGCAGGTCAGGCATTGCTAAAATCAGGATGCAGGCGTAGAATTGGCAATGGCAGGTCCACAAGGGTTTTGTTTCATCCTTGGCTACCTGATGCTAGTGATCCCTATGTGGCCTCAAATCACCCGGGTTTGAATTAGGATCTACTGGTTTTAGACTTGTTAGATAATACCACCAACGGGTGGAATGATGATCTTATTCAGCATCTGTTTGCCCCACGCGATGTGTTGCTAATTAAGCAACTCCCTGTTAATATGGAGTGTGATGATGTATGGTTTTGGGACAGGGATCTGAGGGGTTGCTACTCGGTTAAGGATGGTTACAGGAGGTTGGGCGAAGTTAATGGTCCATGTTTGCCTGTGTGGGGTAAACTATGGAATTTACAGGTCCCCGCAAAATGGAAGAACTTTCTGTGGAGAGCTCTGTCTGACAACTTGCCCACTCTCAACAATTTAATTAATAGAAGGGTTGAGTTGGTTAATATTTGCCCAGCTTGTGGATTGGAGGAGGAGAATGTTATGCATATTTTATGTTCTTGTTCTTTTGCTACACGTGTATGGGGTTTATCTCAACTGCTTATTCCCTCTTTTGACGGCAGGAATTTTGGACAATGGACGGAGCTATTGCTTGGCACCTCGGCCACTTACAATTCTGAAGCACAAGGGAGGATTTGTGGTTTGTTATATGATATTTGGACTGCCAGGAATGAGGCAGTTTGGGATGGTCGTTTGCCGGTGCCGTTTGTAGTGGTCCAGCGGTTCACGGCTAGGTGGGCTTCTTGGATTGCAAGCGAACAACACCGCAACTCCACTCGAGTATCACACGCACCCCCAGGGCCGGTTTCGGCTTTAGATGATGGCGTGATTTGTCGTGTAGATGCGGGCTTCCATGGACCAAATCATGCACCAGCGTTTGGTTTTGTTGTATAGGAGATGGATGGAACCTTTGTGGTGGCAGGGAATGGACCTCTTATTTGCCCGTATGACCCCCTCTTAGCGGAAGCTTTAGCATTGTGTGAGGCATTATCGTGGCTAAGGAATAATGGCTTCTCAATGGTCTCAGTTTACACAGATAGCTTGGTTTTAGTTTCTAGTCTTAGTCATGCTAGTTCTTTTCGTACTTATCTTGGTTATGTTTTGCTTTCTTGTAATCATTTGCTATCATCTATGACTAGATCAGTAGTAATTCATGTTCGTAGGGATGCTTTACAGGCTGCCCACGATATGGTTAAACATGTAACTGCCTCTTTGGCACGTACTCATTGGAGGATGTTCCTCCTCCTTTTCTTGAGCCTGGTATGGCTAATGCATTATAAGTTTGTTGGCTTTCAAAAAAAGAATATGAATTTTAACCTAGAATTAAAGTACGAATAGGAAAGTAGAAAACAATATATTTTTATTAGAAAGAAAGATTTTTTTAGGAATTTGGCAGGAAGTTAAAGTTCATGATTTAGTTTTTATATATAGTATAGATCAAAATAGGAATTATATTACACTATTTTATAATATTAGAATATGAATTTTAACCTAGAATTATACTACGAATAGGAAAGCAGAAAACAATATATTTTATTAGAAAAAGATATTTTTTAGGAATTGGGAGGGAAGTTAAAGTTCAGAAGTTTGTTTTTATGAGTAAATACCAGCCAAGGTCCCTCGAGTTTAGTGGTTCCGCCATCTATGGTCCTAAACTTTCATTTTGACCTTCCGTCACCCTCCTAGTTTTAAAATTGACCTCCTATAGTCCTTCCGTTATGTTTGTCCGTCTCAAGCGTTAAATCCCAGGGCAAAATAGTCTTTTTCTTTATTTACCCCTAAAATACACTCTGTCGAGCATATTATTAAGAAACCCATCCCTCCCATCCCATCCCTTACTAACCCTAATCTATTTCCCTTCCCCTCTGTCGAGCTAATTCTTTCTCCCATTTCTTCCTCTAATTTCTTCCTCCCTTTTCATCAGATTTGGATTTCTTTCTCATTTAAGAAATATTTGGAATCTTGGATTTCCATTGCTTGATAAGAAAATGTCATCTAGTTCAAGTTGTACGAGGAGAAGATATAATGTTGGGGGATCCGTAGAAATTCGAGAGTGTGAATGTGGGAATGAGCTTGTAATTCGAACATCTTGGACGGATCGCAATCCAGGAAGGAGGTTTTTTCATTGTTCTGAATCTCCGGTGAGTATTTTGTTTATATTATTTATTTTTTGTTCATTCAATTGCAATTATTTGTTTTTTGGATTTTAGGGAAGGAAGGGATGTGGTTTTTTTGAATGGACAGATCCTCCAATGTGTCCAAGGTCAATTTGTATAATACCGGGCCTGTTGAAGAGGATAAATAGAGACAGAGAAGAAATGGGGAGATTAAAGGCCATGTTAAACGCCATTGCTAAGGAAAAAGAAGAGAAGTCAAAGGGAAAGACATGTTGCAAAATCAGTGGTGTAATTGTGTTTTCAGTTGTGATTGCAATTTTTTTTGTATTTCATGTGTTTACAAATTCAGTATGAATGGTTAGAATGCTCCCAGACAAATGTTATAATGTTGGAATTGTTAGAATGCTCCCAGATTCATTTCTGGAAGTTATTGTATGTACTGTGACTTTCTAGTTTGATCCTATGTAGTGTGGATTTCCTTGAAAATTTGTTTACTTTCTATTTGTTTCCATTGTTGGTTGGTTAATTTTATGGTCCCAGACAGTATGGTCCTAACTGGCTAATATAGTTGGCAAACTCATCACAGATTGAAGGGAAATTGGCTTCCAAACTTTGACAAATTTGAAGTGAACTTGGTAAATGTAATTTGAAGTGAACTTGGCAAATGTAAGTTTACATTTACATATTGAAGGGAAATTGGCTGCCAAATAGCCTTAATACTTAGCCAAAAACTCATATAATACATAGCCAATGAAGTTGATCTGTTGGCAGTTGCAAAAAAACATTTGCAAATGTAATTTGAAGTGAACTTGGCAAATGTAAGTTTACAAAAACAGATTGAAGGGAAATTGGCTTTCAAACTGCCTTAATACTTAGCCAAAAACACATATAATACATAGCCAATGAAGTTGAGCTGCTGGCAGTTACAAAAAAAAAAAAAAAAAAACATTTGACCAAGACTTAACCAAAATACATTGTCTACCACTTGTCTTAGAGATACTAACTACACTGCCAAGACTAAACCAAAATGATACTGTCATACATAGCCATTCATATGCCTTAGTCAATGTCAATTGGATCATCACTGGTATTTTGGAACTTTGTTTTAGATGTGTTACGTGTGTTATATCTTCTATGCTGAATTATGACTTCCTTCTTCTTCTTAGCCAAGTGTTTTGTTAGAGAGTTGCTCACTTGAACTTGAGTGTCTTCTACTGTTGGTGGCTGGCTTGTAATTGCAATTTCATCATAAGTGACTTGTGTAGATACTTGATGTTGTGACACAACCGCATCAAGGTCAATATTAGCCAACCAAGTATCATCATCTTCTTGTTCTGGATCTGTTGGCCGTGGCTGTGGTATTGGATCTGTTGGCAGTGGTTGTAGCATTGGATCTGCTGGCAATGGCAGTGGCATTGGATTAGTTGAAGATGGGCCAGTAGAAGAGGAGGCACCAAGTGGACCTTTCTTTGTCTTCACCCTCACTCTTTTCTTTGGATTGTCCTGTATAAGAAAGATCACACAATAAGCATAAGCATAATACCAATACAGTTAACTACCAACACAAAATGAATTAGATTACTAAAAAAGATTACCATCCTCTCCCTAACAGTAGGATCTTCAGGGCACTTCCTTTTATTGTGACCTTCTTTCTTGCATTTGGTGCAGTGCATCTTCACATGAGCTCTGTTAAGGTGTGTCTCAACTTTGGATTTGCCCTCACCTCCACTGTTTCTCACCTCCTTTCTTTTCAGAACTTTGCCCACTTTGGCAACCTCATCACCTCCTTTCTTTCTCAACTTTTTGGGTCTACCTGGTTTGGCAGTGTAGAGTGGTGGGAGAGGGGGCTCTTTATCACTCTCAGGCCACTCATTAGGACCTGCCATGGGCCTTATACTACCCCCATATGACTTCAAGTACGTGTCAACAAAGTAACAAGGATATACATAATCATAAACTGGACCATTACCATGTTTCATCCATATTGCACTTATGGCATGTCTACATGGTATACCACTCAACTCCCAACCCCTACAAGTGCAAGTCATTCTACCCAAATCAACCTCATGTTGCTCAAATAACCTATGCATTACCCCTCGTGTCTTAAACAAGTTGTCATCACTTTGAATGACTGTATAACCCCTAGCTGCTTTTTCATTAGCATCTATTTTTTTAACAATCCTAGGACATATAGGTTCAGTCCATTTCTTTGCTTGTTTTCTACATTCAAACAACCTATGCATCAGTTTCTTCCTCACTGTTTCTAGGCAGCTAAGCAATGGCTGCTCTCTAGCATCTAATATTACAGCATTATAGCACTCAAAAATGTTGTTCACTAACATATCACAATGAGCTGCAGTAGAGAAACGTGACCTGGACCACTCCGAGGGATGCTTATCACACAGCCATTCATATGCTTTAGCATCAATGTCTTTAAACTTCTTCATTGCTGCAGTGAAGGAGTTAACAGTGGTGGCCCTAGCAGCTTCCCACAATCCATCTTTGATTGCCTTTCCTGTAAACCCAGCTCAGCTTGTTTCATGTTTCCATGCAAGTGTCTCACACAAAATCTGTGAGACACTGCTGGTAGAACATGTTCAAAAGCAGGGATTAACCCCTTTTGCTTATCTGCAACAAAAACCAATCATAAACAGAGTTAGAACTGAAAAACAAAGATCCCTTTTGTCTAAAAAAAAAAAAACAGTAAAGTAGAAACCTGAAAAAAAAAATAGTAAAGTAGAAACCTTTAGCTTTATCATGTAAGAAATTACAGCCTTTTATGTAATTAAATTCAGTACGGTAAAACAGAGTTAGTAATGGAAATTCATACCTGAAATGAAGGTTAACTCTAGTTCATCTTGAGGAGTTATTGAAAGATCCTTCTTTAAGTGCTTTAAAAACCAAGTCCAGGATTCCTTTGTCTCCCCTTCTACCACTGCATAAGCTAGGGGAAACACACTGTCATTCCCATCTACACCAATGGCTAACAGCAATTGCCCACCATGTAGTCCCTTTAAATGACACCCATCCACCCCAATTATAGGCCTGCAGTACTTATATCCTTCTTTACAGGCTTTCCAACACATGTAAAACCTCACAAACCTTTCCTTCCCATCATACTTCACACCACTCAATTTGACATCATAAGTGCTACCTGGATTACTCCTTTCAATCTCCAAGCAATAACCCCACAATTTATTGAAACACTTTTCTTCCTCACCATAAAGGGCAGCCCTAGCTTTCTTAAGTGCCCTATAGGCTTGCCTCTTAGATATTGTTATTCCATCTTTACTTGACACCTTTTTCAGAAATTCAGAGGGTGTCCAAGTAGCATGTGATGCCACTTCAGTCTTCCATCTTTTAGCAACAGTTGTGGAGTTAGCCATATAGTTCACATTACTCCACCAGCAGCCCCCATGCTTATCACACATGGTTGTTATCCTCCAATCCGCTGCTTGTTTCCTAAGATTAATTCTAAAAGGGCATCCCACTTCATTGCACTCAACAATGCATCTTACCTTATCATTTTTCACATAAAGTAATTCCCTCCCATTACACATTGCATAGTTATAAACTGCCTCTTTAAATTCTTCCTTGGAACCAAAGGTTAGCCCAAGGCAGAATTTTGGTGTTGCCATCTCAGTTTGCCCTCTGAAATTTGGAAGTTTATACTCTTGTTGTTCTTCAATATCACTATCTTTCTCACTACCCTCATCTGAGAAATTGATTTCTATATTTCCATCACTTTGCAATGTTAAATCTGGATTTTGTTTTTCAATCCCAGGAAACTCTGCTGTTGGATCAACAATTATGTCAAACTCTATGTCATCTGCATCAGAGTCCCCATCAGATTCCCATTCACCTTCATCAGAGTCACCATCACAGTCACTTCCTGACTCATCTACTCCATCAGTTTCACCTTCACATGTATTTAACTCACAACTCACAAGCCAAATCTCAATCCTCTTATGCAGCTCAATTTCTTTCAGTAGATCCCAAACTTCAATATCTGTCAATAACTCTATCAATTCATTACACCTATTGACAAACATCTTCAATTCTTCAACATTTTCATACCCTAGCTCCTTCACTTTATCCCTTAGTGTAAATAATCCCCACTCATTTAGATCCATATTCTGGAAAGAACTCATCTTCCCCCCAACATAGGAAGCCTTTGTTTTACTTATTCTGCCACCATGCCTTAAAGTAAGATTAAACCCACCATTATCTGTAAAGGAATTAAAATGACAGCAAAGTGTTAATTATTAAAGTATTGGTTCCCCAACCCCAACACACGTGGTCCCCATACACTTTATTTATTCAATTCAATCTGGAAATAAACAAACAACATATATATTCTTAGCATACACAGAATATACACATAACATATTTAGTGGTCCCCTAAACCTAAAACCAACACAGTAAAAAGTCAATACAACTGCACTTTACATTAAAAACCAACCATTACTGCTTTGAAATACAATAAAGAAGTAGTAATGGTTGGTTTTTAATGCCAACTGTATGGTATACTGCTTTGAACCATAAAGTACTGCTTTGAACCATGGTATAATGCCAACAATAAAGAACTTAGTTCTGCTTTGAACCATAAAGTAATGCTTTGAACCATGGTATAATGCTAACAATAAAGAACTTAGTACTGCTTTGAACTATAAAGTATACCATACAGTTGGCATTTTCTCAGCATACACAAAATAAAGAACTCAGCTTAGTCAAATTTAGTAAAAAAAATACTCCACTCCAAATAAATATATTGTCCCCATTCCAACACAGACAATCCTACACATATATATTCACATTTACAAGAACGGAGATAAGCATACTCACATTTTTTCTAAACCTAGTCATTTGCGCACATCAACCATACCAATACATTCAAACTACTACAAACACGTAAGTAAATACAATCGTAGGGAGGAAAACATACCTGAACTGTGCTGCTCTCTAAAACCCATTTCCTAGCAATTTTGCCTCGTCAGTCAGTGAATAGATTAGGGCTCGATTTTGGGAGAGATTTTGGGAGTGAAATCGATTAGGGTTAGTGAGCTGAGTGATGATTTTTTTTGGGAGGGAATTCTATACTATCGGTATGTGTCTGGGTATTTAGGGGGGAATTAAAGAAAAAGACTAATTTAAAGAAAAAGATTATTTTGCCCTGGGATTTAACGCTTGAGACGGACAAACATAACGGAAGGACTATAGGAGGTCAATTTTAAAACTAGGAGGGTGACGGAAGGTCAAAATGAAAGTTTAGGACCATTGATGGCGGAACCACTAAACCACTCTTGTTTTTATATATAGTATAGATTAGAATATAATTGTATTGCACTATTTTCTAATATTAGAATAGGAATTTTTAACCTAGAATTATAGTACGAATATGAAAGTAGAAAACAATATATTTTTATCTGAAAGAGAGATTTTTTAAGAATTGGACAGGAAGTTAAAGTTCAGGATTTTGTTTTTATATATAGTATAGATTAGTCAAACTAACTATTTCTTCTTTGCCTTTTATTTTTATTATTATTATTATTATTATTATTATTATTATTATTATTATAATTATAATTATAATTATAATTATAATTATAATTATAATAATAATAATTATTATTATAATTATAATAATAATAATAATAATAATAATTATTATTATTATTATTATTATTATTATTATTATTATTACTAGTATTTGTCCCATGCGATGCACGGATAAATATTCAAGATTTATTTGTAATGTTATAATAGATAAAAAAATATTTTTATTTATTACCATTTGAAGATGAATGACTACTATCACTTCTTTCAGGTCGGATATAACATGTAATACTTAAAAAAAATAAAAAATACAATACACAAACTACAATTAATGCATATTTCGAATAATTAACAATACACATTGATAAATAAGATAATCAAATAAATAAATTATATATATATTAACTTATTTATTTGTATTATTAAAGTCATTATACAAATAACACAAATTAATATACACTTTCCAGCATCTTTACATTTTATATTTTGATCCAACCCAAAATATGTACATAATTTAAATTTTATATTAGGCCCAATATATTTCAAAGCCCAACAAAATCTGAAATTAAAGCTCAGCCCGTATGTCTAATTTTAAAATACGCAAAACGCTTCGCGTTCTTCATTTTCCACTCCAAGCATTAATCGCAGCAGCTCTCCGTCTCTAGCTTCTTCCGTAGCTTAGGGTTTGCATCTCCATCCTATAATCCTCTAAACTTTATCAGATTATACCCAGATTAGGTCTTTCTTCCGTTCTGGTCTTCAGTTCTCTGCGTTGGCAGTATGTAGGTTAATCACAGTGTGAGTCCATCAATGGTGGTAGTCCGATGGTTGGTGGTGGGGCTTTGAGGAACTGTGCTTACAGCCGCAGTGGTTCTCTGGTGTACAGGTAGTTTAGGACAGTATGTCAGTTTTTGTGTATAAATATAATCTGCAAACCCAACTCTAATCCATTATTGAGCAGCTTCTCCCTAAAATACTACATCCGTCGATAATCTCTCTTCGTTTTCTTCATTCTCAAAATCTCCGCCATCGGCATCTCCGGATTGCTCTCCGGCATGATCTCCCCTATTGGCTCCTGCGGCTCAAATGGGTCGTCTGGCAATCAATTCATTCTTCCTACCAGGTATACAAACCCCTTTTTCCATCTATGTGTAAATTGGTTCTTGAAATCAACCATTTTGCTGTAGTGTAATCTCCACTTTCATTTTGTCTGCCACTTTATTCTAACTGTACTCTAATCCTTATAGTCGCATCATGTTTATTTAATTTTTTTTTAAACATGCAAGAAGATACTCCAAAGTGAAGTTGTTTTTTGTTTAAAATCAAGTATTACATCGATAGTCTGAGAAGTCAATTCTCTGATGGTGATGCTCTTATCTTTACATGTACCGCATATTTTTAGTGACATGTGAAGTAATTTAGTTGAGAAGATTAAAATAGACCCCCTGGTGAAACTACATTGAAAATGATTATATTGGATTTTTCTGAGGCCAAGTAATTGTTTCCTTTTTCATTGTGTATACTCTTAATTGTTTTACTTGTGTTTTGTGTTGGAAAGATATCAGCACACATTATCACTTGTTTATACACTACTCTAACCTGCAAAACTACTGATTATAAGCCAAATAAAATACTCTGTAAAAAACTTCAGTGCAAGATTATTTGGCAGAAAAAACAATAATAATATAAGTGCACTGGATATTATAAAATTATATAACTTCATGTCCATTCAAGAATACAATATTACTTAAAGAATTATATGTTTAACATGACTCTTTTCCATTCTTTCAACAGGAAGTTGATGAGAGAAGTACTCACACATGCTGACATGCATAACAGAACAACAATTTAGAGTCAGTTGTAAGGTATTACATCAAGATAAGTTTAAAGCAGCAATCGGGTATATTTACATGATACCTTGATAAATATTACTTATCCAAGGAAAATTTTACTTAATCATTTGAATTTGCATTTTTGTGATTGCTAAAATACTCATATTTCTCACTCTAAGTCTCTTGTATGTGTTTATTCCTCTTGCTAATAGTCATATGCTTGAATGCATTTTGGTCCTTTGTCCTACTGGAAATCAAAATGATAGTAGGATTGCTTTATTTTCTTTCTTTTTTCACAGATTTCAGTTAATACTATATTACCTGGACGGCCAGCTCATGCTAGACCCCAAAACTTCATTGAGACAAATACAATTTACTGTAAAAAGTCAATGGTAGAAATTATAAATCTAGACTACTCTAAGATGCATTGTTGGTATTTTTATTTTTATACTAAAGCCAAGCATAAAAATATAAAATAAGCTAGCAATTGTGTTTTTATATAATATATATATGATATATATAGATATATAGATAGATAGATTTTGATACCTCATTTGATTTTCATTTTTACAGAACTCTTTCTTTTTGCAGCTGCCATTTTTCATCAGCTCACCTCCCTCCTGTAAAAGGTTCATCTTTGGAGTTGTTCTCAATTGTAGGCCTCAACACACACCTTAATCTTTAACCAAATGTCTTCTTCCTCTGATTGGATGCTTTCCCAAGTCTTCTTCCCTGCAGCCTCGTGGTTGCAATGGATGCTGTTCATTTTCGCTGTTTCCTCCACATATATATAGGATAGGAAAGTTCATTTTAAAATTAATATTAGTTTTGAAAATTGCAACAGTCTATCCCCAATTAAATTCATTTTTGTATTCACACATGTATTGATGGCTTGTAATAATAGTTTAAGTATATGAAGAGCTTTCAAGCAACCTTTCAAGTTCCAAGACATTTAAATATCAGTTTTAAAACAAAATTTAAAATGCATGCGTTTACAATTACTTCCGCCCCTTATTATAGATGTGAACTCGCCCACTACTTTGCTTTGGCGGGAACTTTTGGGTTCTGCTTTATTATAATAGAAGATTATTTGTTTAAATGGGGGGAAACCCGGTAAACAAACTTAGCAAAGGTTATTAGCCTTCGCTCGATTTTTAGAGATATGGCGATGGATCTTTGCCTATTTTCTTTACTAATTTTGATTATTTTTAATTTTATTATTATTATTTTTTTTTGTGTGTTTAACAGTATTTTTAATATAATTTTTAAATATATATAAATTTTATATACTAATACATAGTACTAAATTTAATGTTATGTAAAATTAAATTAAAAATAACTTCAGTAAAGTCTTGTTAATCATACTAGACACATAAAATGAAACGAAATGAGTATTTATTATTGTCATGTAATTGTCTCCTCAAATATTAGTTTATATTGGCTTTGCCACATTAAACATTTCATTGCACCACCGTGTATCATGTCATTCATTATTGTCATGTTACCTATCCCGTGATTTCATTGCTATATTCCATCATTTAATTACCATTATAGCATTATAATTATTCAAGATCTTTTTGATAAAAATTGAATCCAATCCATTTATAAAATAAATACAAACTTTAATCATTTTGTTATAATATTAACTTTTTTTTTAAAGATATCATATGTTATTCTTTTAATTGAAAATGAAACAATATCCTTTAAGATCTTTGATTACAAACATGATATTTTAGGAAAAAGTGTCAAATTGGCACTATAACTCAAGTGGATAGTATAATGGGTCCCCTAATTGAAAACAGCTACATTCACTACTGGAAATTCTGAAATTTCCGACCACCTGAAAGTTATCTTAAATCAAGTCGAAAGTCTTGTTCCGACCATTTTTCATATCCGAAAAAACCCTTGTTGCTATTTCCGACCACTTTTTGCTTTCAACTTGATTTAAGATCACTTTCAGGTGATCAGAAATTCAATAATTTCCAGTAGTGATTCAAGTCCCCTAAACCGGTAAAATTGTTCAATTAAGTCTCATTTGACTTGTTTATTAGGTTAAATCGATATAGTATTGACACGTGTCCTTACTTTATTTTTTAAAACAAATGTTTTTTATTTATTAAAAATTAAAAATATTATTTATTATAAATAAATTAGTTAATTAAAATAATAATTAAAAAAAAAAAAAAGAACAGCCACTGGTTGTCCGCGTCGGACAGCCGGTGGCTGTCTTCCTTCTTCACGAACAGCCGTGGTCGTCCGACCACGACCATCTAAGGAAGAAGGCCATGGCCGTCTTCTAGATCTGGACAAGGGCTATGGCCTTGGCCACCGCCCTCGTTCCAGACGGAGGGGACTTGTCCAGATCGTTCCAGTCCCCTCCGTCTGGAACGAGGGCCGCGGCCAAGGCCGTAGTCCTCGTCCAGATCTAGAAGACGACAATGATCGTCTTCCTTAGAGGGCCACGGTTGTCCGCAAAGAAGGAAGACAGCCACCGGCTGTCTGGCGTGGATAGCCGTTGACTGTTCTTTTTTATTTTTATATTTAATTTTTTTAATTATTATTATTATTATTTTAATTAATTTATAATAAATAATATTTTTAATTTTTAATAAAAAACATTTAAAAAATAAAATAAAAATGACATTTGTCAACACCGTATGAATTTAACTTGATAAACAAGTTAAATTGAACTTAATTGAATAATTTTACCGGTTTAGGGGACTTGAATGAAGCTTTTTTTTTTTTTTTTTTTTTTTTTCTTTTTACTTAGGAGACCCAATTACACTATTCACTTGACTTTAGGGGGCCAATTTGACACTTTTTTCAATATTTTATTGTTCAATCAACTTCTATAAGCACCTTGGTTTAGTGTGGTTTTCTAAACTTATTCCCATAGTTGATATGTATTGCTAATTTTTTTCCCTTTTTCATTTTAAAATTTTCACAAATATCATATTTTATTGTTACATAAATGACTTAAAATTTATGTACTATGATAAAACTTCTATCACAAGCTATTAAACTAGCTAACATTCATTTTAATTAATAATATCAATTGAAAAAAAAAAAAACGTAAATGCTACGTTGATCTTATTGGGTCATGAGGTTAATAGGATAATTAGAAAACTTGATTTGCACATATTTAAATTTGTCTAAGGACATTTGCAATGGTGATTAAAGAGAAAAAAAGAGGGATAAAAGAGGAGAAACATAATTGGAGGGGAGAGAAGATTATTCTCCAAATAGAAAGTTCTCTTCGAAAAAAAGGGGAGATGAAAGGCACAGATATAGGTAGCACTCAAGTAACATGGCGCAAAGCGCAAATGGTGGGGACATCATAGCCCCCTACTCCCACCATTAATGCTATATTTAATACAAATTGTTTGTTATGAACCAAAATCAAGCTTTGTGTTTTTTTGTTCTTTTTAATTTGTTATTTTATTTTTATATTACTATATTAAAATTTATTTTAAAAATTTTAAATTTTATTAATTTTTGGAATATATAGTATTTTTTTTTTAGTACTATTGACTCTGTTACAATGTATTAAAATTTGTTTTCAATCTTTTTTATTTTGTTATTTAAATTTATTTTCATTTAAAATTGAAATTATAGTTATAAAGATAAAATTATTTAATTATAGAAAAGTGAATAAAATAATAAATAATGTGTTGAGTTTGAATGAGTAAGACCAAAAAAAAAAAAGGCTGGGGGAAAAGGATTGGAGAAAACATATGAGAGGATAATATAAGGTGATCTGGAAGAGTTGAATTTACAATTTAGGGAGAAAATGGAAGAACCATTGTGAATGATCTAACAATGCATGAAAGGTAAAGTATTAAATGTAAAGCGACTAGCTTTTAATTTTAAACCGTTAACCAACAACAAAAAGACTTGAAAAAGTGATTATAACATATATTTTATTAGGGAGCTATGAGAATATACCACTTTAACATGTTATGAGAATTGAGAACAAACATTCTCTTTAGGGTCGTTATATCGTGCACCGCGGTGCATAATTGATTATACACCGCGCGTCAGACACTACCGTGTGTCTAAACCGACACTGGCTCACGTATTGTTTTTATATTATCAAATGAAACTACAGTTATATCAATATGATATTGTAGTTGTGGTGAAATGAAATTGAATAACATTTCACATATTTGAGTGTATATTGTACAATGAAGCTGTAATTATATTCAAATGATCATGTAGTTGTGTTTTAATGAAATTATAGTGTATATAAACTAAAATTAAATAACATTTTCACATATTTGAGTGTATAAATATTGAATGAAACTGTAGTTATATCGAAATGAAATTGTAGTTGTGTTGAACTGAAACTGCAGTGTATACAAAATGAAACTGAAGAACAGAGTTATTTCTTGCGAAGATTATGTTTCTTTTCATTAAATAAAACGACGTCGTTTTAACAGTGTCGGTTCAAACACACTGTAGTATCTGACGCGCGGTGCATAATCGATTATGCACCGCGGTGCACGATATAATTTGCCTTCTCTTTATAGGTAATACCATATTAAAGGGAGATTTTAGAATTAAAAAAATATATATATATCGTAAAATCGAACTTGAATAGATATTTGATGGTATTTGATGGTTTTTAATGGATCAGACCCACTGTAAATTGACTAATTCAAACATAACACTATACAATTCACAAAGCCTAAGTCCTTTAAATGTTATAAGCAGGCTATTGATAATTAATAGGTATAAGGAATAAAATCAAGTCAAGTGGCCTAAGTCCTTGGCACAATTGAATAGTTGGTTTGCTAAGCAAATTTCTTTGACAAATGAGAATTATTAGGACTCTATGTAAATGAGTCTGTTTAGAACTTCTTATCCTTGTCACACTGTGACTCTCTACTTCTTATCATTGTCACACTGTGACTCTCTATTCTATATATTCACATCATCTGATCTCATTGTAATCATGTTCAGAAAATATAATACAATCAGTTCTCATCTGGTATCAGTTAGCTAGGGTTTTGTGATTCATAAAATTAAGAAGATGCAGCGCTGTGATGGCAACCTTAATTACCGTGGAGGTCAGCAACGTGGCTTCGATGATCCGTGTCAAATCTGTAAAGGTTTCGGCTACACAGGAGTCAATTGTTTTTGGCGCTATGATGATCCGTGTCAAATTTGTAAACGTTTTGGTCACACGGGAGCCAATTGTTTTTGGCGCTATGATGATCCGTGTCAAATTTGTAAACGTTTTGGTCACACGGGAGCCAATTGTTTTTGGCGCTATAATGATCCGTGTCAAATCTGCAAAAGTTTCGGTCACACGGGAGTCAACTGTTTTCGGCGATATTCAGGGGCTCCGGGTTCTCAGGCTAATTTGGTGTTTCAGAATGGTTTAGTTGCTAAAACCTCGTCAAATTCTCATACTTGGGTTCCGGACACTGGAGCCACAAATCATGCAACTCCGAACGTCGCTGCTCTTTCTACATCGGAGAAGTACACTGGTAATGACACTTTACGTGTCGGTGACGGTATGGGTTTATCTATTAGTCATGTTGGTCATGCCTCTTTTAATACCCCTTCTAGATCATTTACATTGTCTGATATACTTCACGTTCCGCGTTTGTCTAATTCTTTATTATCTGTTCAGAAGTTTGCATCCGATAATAAAGTCTTTTTTGAGTTTCACCCCTCATTTTTTGTTGTAAAAGATATCAATACCAAGGAAATACTTCTTCGGGGCAATAGTTCGGGGGGACTATACACACTTTCATTACCTAGTTCGTCTCCGTCAGCGTTTATTTCCGCTCGTGCCTCGGCTTCCACTTGGCACAATCGTCTAGGTCATCCTCATAACCGTGTTCTTAGCCATATACTTCGTTCTTGTTTGGTTAGTGGGTCTCGTGATAATATTCGTTGTCATAATTCTTTATGCAATGCGTGTCAATTAGGCAAATCTGCCCGTTTTCCCCTCCCCCGTGTTGCTTC